TTGTGTAGATGTGTAGATTTGCATAAATTGTGTATATGCTGATGCATACCAAGAAGGGCATTGGAAGAATTTTTAGAGTTTAAATAGAAACAACTTTTTGCAGTAATGGTTTGATGCTTGGATGCTTTAACAAAATCTTGTCAAATTGGAACTACGGGCAAGAACAAACAACATGAATTTAAACATGCAAAGTATATTTTGTGTAAGAAAATCAAAAGCATGACAATGGAATGGAAGGATCATATTGGGCAACAGTACACACAAAAAGGATTTGGATCACAAGCTGAACATGAGCCAAGCCTATGATGCAGCTGCCAAAAACCAAATGGAAGAAGAAACATAGGACAGCAGGAGGATGTTTAGCTTATAGAAGTATAAACTGAGGGAAGGTGTGATAGTTGTCTTAAAGGGCTGTCATATAAGGGGTCCCCAACCCCCGGGCCACAGCCCAATGCTGGGCTGCAACCCATTTGGAACTGGGCTGCAGGAGTTCACATGCACAAAACCAGCCCTTCTCTCTCCCCTCCCCCCACTGCCTCTGCTGGTCCGCTTAACCAGAAAAGTTGGAGACCGTTAATATAGGTAGCTCTGTGTTCTCCTACTAATTTTGTTGTTAACATGAAACAATCAGCTTCAGTTACAAAAAAACTGATTTTGATTGGACAACAGGAAAAAATCTCTTAATGATAAAAACTTTTTAATAATGGAGTTTGCCACAGATGCTAGTAGGAGGTTCTTCGGTGTAAGCATTTAGGAAGAAGCTGTTTTGGTTTTCTGGCCAGAAAGGTCTATGACAATTTGCCACCGCCACTCACCATGGCCAACTTGCCACAGCCAACTTGCCATGGCCAACATGCCATGGGACAAGAGTTACACTAATATCAAAGAAATGGTGGAATAGAATCATTAAAGAAAGGATGCAAAAGGAGGAACACAATGGAATGTGAATGATAAAAAATAAAATATTTTTTATTTATTTTGAATAATTGAATTGTTAAATTGTCCCTTGATGAGTTTTCCTGCAGCGAGTTGGCTGTGGCTAGTTGGCCATGGCGAGTTGGCCGCAGTGAGTTGGCTGTGGCAAGTTTGCTCATTCCGTTTCCTGGAACATTTCTGAAAACTATGCTAACACATTCTTCACTCCCTATTTTTGGGGGGCAGGTAACCCAAAATCCACACTGAATTGTTTTAGGTCCCAAGTACTTAGGGAATACAGAACATGCTTGTAAAATGCTAAACCTGAGCAGACGATCCTTTTTCCTGAAACGATCCAAAGAACTTTATTTTTTGCCTGCATATACCTTTGATACAATTTTTATTGGCTATATATTTTATTTCAGCATACTGTATGGTGTTTACTAGAATCCAACTGTGGTGACCACTGTCTACTTTAGTTCACTTTCAGTTGCACCATGTTTCTTCACTAGCTTTCTAGCAATTCTTCTTTCCTCATTCTTTTTCTAAACCACATGAAAATAGGCCAAGTAACTTCTTCAAAAAACTAAGCAATTTATTAAAAACATTATGATTTAATTTAGCAGCTGTTGAGAAGTTTCTCCAGTATTCCTTTATGCCTCAGTTCCTTGTCTCCTGTATCATTTTAAAGTCTATTTTTCCCAGCTAGAATTCTTAGTCTGTTGATCTCATACTTCCAACTACCTTAGACTTTCTATTCTTTCATTTCTCCTCCTTTAAAGTCCTCAGTTTATCCCCATATAAATGATTTAATCCTACCCAAAGTAATAGCTTTCATTGTCCTTAATTTACACTCAACTCTATTCCCTATGGCCTATACAAACTGAAAGTCTTTGTATCAGGATTGCAATAGCTTCAGTTTATGCAATTGTAATGACTCATTACAAATAGCTCTATGATTTTACCATTTTATTGATGAGGGGGAATGCATCAGATCTCACTTTTTTCCCCTTTCCTAAACTCTGATATATAAGTGAGTAATTTGGCATGGCAATCTGTGCACTGTCTTACAGAGAATCTTAATATGCAGGAAGTATGAAGAGCTGGAGAATCTTGCATTGAACAAATATTTATTTGTATGTCACGTCCCCATTTAGGTAAAGAAATATATATAGAAGTAATGGAATGTGCATTCAGCAAATAAATAATTCTAAGGTATGTTTAACTATGTGCAGCACTGTTGTAACAGCAAAACTTAATCAGCCAATATAATAGCCAATACAAATATTATAAGCTTAAGAAATTATCAGATCCAGATGTGTCTATTAGTGCAAGGAACATCAGATTAGGACTGGGGAGATCAAGATTAAGATTCCCAACTCAGTCATGATGTTTATTGAGGAAATACCAATTAGTGTTTGTAAGCATTACTTACTAAGATTATTGTGAGAATGAAATAAGACAGGACAAACAACTATATATGCTATTTGGAATCAGATCTCCTTGAAAATTTTTAGCTGACAGAGGATTTAAATCATATTTTCAGAATTAATAGTCCATTTGGAAAAGGTGTTTTATAATACTAAGTAAATTTATGCTGATAGGAATGTCACATATTAATAAATAAATACATCTCAAAAATTCAGGAAAGAAATTGTAGGTTGCTATAACCCAACATTTATCCTCTAATTTTTTTAAAACAGTAATCTGTTTCCGACATTTGCAACTCTAAAACATATTTTATAATAATGTTAAAATTGAAATACATTATGTCAATGAATTTAATTTTAGGAACTTAATTGGCCCAGATGATTCTAGAGATATTTTTATCAGACCAGCTTCTGGTGTTACATCCCATTCTTGTTGCTATGGAAAAACAATGATTTCTCTCAACCAAAAATAAATCTCCACTAGCAGTGGAGAGAAATACAGCCAGAAAAAAATCCAGAGTTCTTTCTGTTATAAACTGCTATACCAATTGGTTTTATCTATGTATTTAAATTAAGCATTTCTGCTCAGAACTGGTCTGAACAAGAAATACAGTATAACATTTATTGAAGGAAATCCTAGGCAGGTTTTAGAGAGGTGAGAAGAAGGAACTTTACACCTGCCCAGATATTTCTGAAAATTACTTAACCCACTCAGGCTATCCTGCTATGAATGGTAAAAGAAAGGAAGTTTGTGACCTTGTCAGAAGGTCGCAAAAGGGGATCACATGACACCAGGACACTGCAACCATTGTAAATATGAACCAGTTGCCAAGTCTGAATTTTGATCACGTGACCACGGGGGAAGCTCAACTGTTGTGTGAAAATCAGGCATAAGTCACTTTTTTCAGTGCCGCTGTAACTTTGAACAATCACTAAACAAAAGATTGGAAGTTAATGAGTACCTGTAGTCAAATTGTAGGAAATTTAGTCAGTCTATGGTAGCCAAAAATCTGAGAGTGACCCTTTAATTTTTTAAAAGAGACCAGCTTTTGTGAGCTATGGGCGAAAAGGAGCCATAGAACTTGATTCTGCAATAACAGCTCAAGGTGTCTTCTAGTATACCCCTCAGGTCCACCCCCTCACTTTCTATCCCCTCCTTGGGCCAGAGGTGGGAGCCAAAATGACTTAACTATGGGGGCTGTTCCATGAGTTGTACTGTTTGCTACCAGATTATTCAAGGTGTTATAAAGTCCTATAAGGCTTAGGGTCGGATTATTCAGGGACTGCCTGCCTCTCATCGAATCTACCTGGCTGAATCAATCCTGTAGGTTGATGTGCTTTAGATTCCGTCAACAATGTCATATCTCAGGACCCCCCAAGTTTTCCATTTCTGTATCAGTGCCTGCCCTCCAGAAAGGGGTATCTCCCCCCCAAGATCCAGATGGCCCCACTCTGCTGTTATTTAGAAGAGCTCTGATGACCTGGATCTTTACCCAAAAGGGGTGTTATCTTATGTGAACGCCTTTTCTCAGCATGATGATGGAGAATTACAGCATAATGTAATGTGATTGGTTCTATGTTTCTTTTCCCAAAATCCTTGCTGTGCGTATCATTTATTTTCTAACTGGTAAAAATTGTGTTATATTGGTATTTTGGCAATTGCAGCGGTCACTGCAGACAACAGCTTTGACAAAGCACCTTTAATCTGTTCTTAAAGCTTGTTGTGCTCACTGACACACACACACACACACACACACAAAAACACCAAAATGCAGGAAAATCTCGTATTAGATATAAGCCTGAGAATAGGCACTATCTGTTCATATTTCAGAATCATCCTTATGCTGTTACCTAAGAAGCAAGGTGTTAATGCTTTAAATACAAAAATAAATACTGACATGGGAACTTTTTATAGGTCTGTGCTCCAATTTTAAGATTTTTTTGTATTGCCCAAAAGAAAAAAAGTTAAATTCATTGGCCTTCATTTATTCTACAAAGTTTAAGCAACACATTTACTCTCCTTTTTTTGTCATCTTTAATATTTACTACATGAAGAAACATTTTAAAACACCAGCACTATTGATAACCTCATAGAGATGTAAATTTATTCATAAGAAGAGGGAGGGAGAGGACAAACAAGAAAGTTTTGTCTATACTACTCTATACAGTTACTTTTGTTTGCAACACACACATCAATACATGGAAGCAAAGCTACTTAGAGCCCTCCAAAGGGACTTGAGCCAAAGCTGGCCTGACTGAATGAATGGAGTCAATTATCAAATGTAAGATCAGCTGATGGCTGCACACAACTAGCTACATTTGTCAATCTTCACAGCCCTAGTTGGGGAATATACAGTTCCCAAAGCAGTCTTTGGCATCAGAGGACTCGCATTGCTTAGGAATGAAAACTATCTAGTACAGTACTTACTGCTACCTGTAATTCATATAATTATGGATTTTAGAAATATTGTTATGATGACAATGCAATAGTGAATCAAGATTAATGCAAACTTTCTTCATGAATAATATGACAAATATGTTCCTTTTTAAAGAGGCATTCTAATAAAGGAGATCTGAATTCTGACTACCTGAAGAATGTAGCTGGGTTTTTGCTTTATTCTTGAATGAAAAGAAAGACGAGAAAACAATCCAACAGACATTTCATTAAATAAATTTATTTGTTAAAATAATTTAACTCCAGATACAACTGCTGAGTTTGCATTGAGTTCTATGTACAATTTGTTTTATTTTGAAATAGTTTGATTTAAACAACTGATAACTTATAAAATGTAATGTTTTTTTTCATTTATCAGTTGTAACAGAGGTCCACAATCATTAAAGATGTTTATTCAATTCTAGAAATCACAAATTGTTAAATTTGCAAAAACACACTGCAATCCCTTTTTAAAACCTGATCAAAAACTCATAAAGGAAAAATTCACAATAAAATCCTGACGTTGCCAAATTTGCTTTATTGTGGAATTATTTCAGTTATATTGAAGACCATGTGTCACCTCACCCTAAACCTTTAGGTGGCATGTATGACATAGAAAATACTAGCATGTTTGCTGACAAAAAAATAATGCCAATTTTTAAATAAAGGGATATACAGTATTTATTGTTGGTACTACCAGATGAAGAATTCCTCAGAAATTGCTATCGATATTTGCATGTGTGCTGAATCATCTTAAAAAAACATTCTGAACAGATGTTGACAGTTGTTTAACCAGTTTCAAAGGAAAAGAGAAACTCACCGCTGCAGAAAAATACAAAGCTCTAAGCAAAGAATATTGGGTCTTTGGATGAACTAATAATATTTTAAGGCATGTTAAATCCTCCTTCCCAAATTACTACTATTGGATCTGCTTAGGATGCAAGACAGCTAGTGCTTCTCAACCAGCAGTCCCAAGGTGTGTAATATTGCTGACCAGATAAATGGGAAAATGTCACCAATACATATAGAGGCTACTGTTGGTATGTTTGAATAGTGGCACATATAGAGTCAGAGTAACCTTGTAGCCCAGATTAATATGCCTGTTTTAATCTAGTTTTTAAAATCTATGTTCTGGGAAAGATAGCCAATGGCAAGATCATCTTTACAAACACAGTGATGGCCAGAAAATGACAAAGTTGCCCACTGTTATAAATTAGGAAGGGTAAGGACTGACAAAGGTTCACTCTTCCATTGGCACTAGGAATCCCTTTTAGCTGCCACTAACTCTGTGAGTCTACACACATGACACGGGAGAGAAGGAATCCACATAACTGATAGCCTTAGAGATCACCTCTTGCTGATTTATATCATTTTGGTCAAATATACTGTACTACACAGTGACAGAATCTAAATTGCATATAAATTGTTTCTTGGAATTAGTATATCACCTACTTTTGTATGAAAGTATATTGTTTAGTCTGTAAGTGAAGATTATGCACTACAAAGTACTTGTGTGGGTTTTTTTTTAAAAAGCTTCCTATTAAAATAATGCCTTGACAAAAATAAAGAAATGCCATTTATGCTCCTCATTTTTTTTTTTTTACATCAAATAATCTGACATGTAGTACAGGACTTATTTTTGGAATCAATCAGTATAAGATGCACTCAACGTTCTTCTATACCTGCTTATTCCACTTTTCTTTGATCAATGAAATTATTTTCTGACATACTGCTGCATAATATTTCTTCTAAAAGAATTTAAAGATTATAATTCATAATTTTTACCTTAATACGTGGAAGTTGCCCATATAAAATGCATTAAAGTTCAGTAATTCTTAAAGCTGAGAAAGAGGTTCGGCAAGGAATTACGTTTCTAATACAGAACCTCATGTTTAAATGACAACTGTTTGCTTTCTTGATTATGAGGGGAAAAATAATTCAAGAACAAAGGAAAGTGTAGCCAATAATCATCCATCATTATTGTTAGAAATTGATCTAATCTAAGTTAAATGTGTTCTACTGTGTAAGGTATAAAGTGGCCAAGTGTTTTTTTAAAAAGGCTTTTAAAAATTCATTTGCTTTTGATACCCTTTAGATTGCAGTTTGTTTTTCTGCTGATCAAGGCAAAATCTCAGAACTCAAGTTCATTACAGCATTTGTAAAAAGTTGCACTCACCAACACACTCATACCCATACATAGAACATACGTTCCTTTCCACTCATCCACACAAGAAATTACAGAACTACTTCACAAGATTGAGAAACCAATCTTTCAGGATAGTATTTGGACCATAAGCAGAGGTGTCAAACTGGCGGCCCGCAGGTCGGATGCGTCACGCGCAGGCCAAGCCCACCCCAGCTCTGCAAAGGCAAAAAAAAACATTGCGATACATCACATGACATGATCGGGTTTGACACCCGTGGACCATAGGCTCAGTGATATTGTATTGTAAAGGCCAATTTTATCCATCAAGGTCCATTATCATTCCACCATTTCAATCTTAGATTTTCTGATTGGAAACTTCCTGGATTGTAAGACATAATAGATATAATTGGTGCTGTTAAGTCATGCAAATTTTAAGTATTTCACTGCTATTTAAATTAAAATTAGAGGCTGAGCCACCATTTTAAAACAATGCTTTCACTCACTATTTGTCACAGCAATAACCAGGGCAACAGGATCACTTAATGGCAGCACCTGACTAGCATGTTAGGCAATTGAAGACACAAATCCTTTTCTCATTCCCACATGGAATTAAAATATTTTGTATTCACCTTGAGACAAAGTAATTCTACACAGTTAACCAGAATCGCCAACATTAAAGATATAAAGTGGCAAAATTAAATTCCATAGCTCAATTAGTATATCACATCCAAGATACAGCCCTTAAAGGCAAAAATAAACTGGTATCCTTAAACTAAAAAATATAGGATGCTTGTACAGCCCCTATGAGGTTTCTGCAAAAAGGAACGGCTGAATACAACATGGCTTCATTTTCCTTACAAGGTGGTACTTGTTAATGTGCTAGCAATGTTCCTCATTAGTAAGGCCAAACAATTCTTTTTAACCCCATCATGGTTGCTTCTTCCTGGATCAGTACAGAGATTAATGCATTTCCTGCTCTGCAAAGCAAGGGCTGGTTTCGTATCTTGACTGAACAGCAATTGAAGCAATCCACCATTTTCTGAGTAACAATGCAGAATATTTAGGATATCCTAATGTTTCAGTGTTCTCTTTACAAGCTGTTGATTTTTTTTCAGAGCTTCTCTCTTTCCGTTCAAGTACTGATGGAGCATTTTCCTTTTTGCATTATGGGATCACAGAAAATAATGAATGTAAAGAAAATAACAGAACTATATTAGTTTGCCAATAAATTTATCAACACTTGCGTCAAAAATAAAAATTAGCATATTTGACTGATTTGGCCACAAGTGATAAAGTCCTGAAATTCAGTAAGTAGATACCTTTTGTTAAAATCTTTACTTATCAGTACAGAATAAGCAGAGTGCAAAAGGTCTTTGCTGGTGCTCTCCTTTTCACCAAAAACTTTTCTTAATTTAAAGCAGTAGCTGTTACCTGACAAGCCAATGTGCACAGATTGTGCTCACCCTGTAATCTGTTGGCTAGGCCAGAGAGTAGAACATGCAGAAGATGTGCTGCAGGCAAATAAAGCTTCTCATTTTTTTTTATTAAATTGATCAATATTTATGTTTCACTTGGAGGTTCAGTGCTACTCCACTTTGAATTTTTGACCAACTTTAAATCACAGAGTGAAATAGTCTATTCTGTCACCTTACCCAAAATACAGCAAATTAGGTCCAATTCCATCCTTGGAATGCTATTGTATATTACATGCAGAGCAGCATGGGTCATCTTTATCTGGTTGAGAGGCATAGTTCATTTGTCTGACAATCTCTGCAAAGAGCTCATCCACCATTGTTTTGCTTTTAGCAGATGTCTCCATAAAAGGACAACCCCATTCTTCAGCCAGAGCTCTGCCTTCACTGGATGAAACTTCTCTCTCGCTCTCCAAGTCCACTTTATTTCCAACCAAGATTACAGGTACCTTCTCATATCTGCAATTAGAGATAAACAAACAAGGTTGAAGTCTTTTGCCATCTTTGCAAAGATAAAAGCAGTCAAAATTGCCTCTGCTCTCACCATTAGGGTGGTCTTCAGCATACAAATGCTTCATTTAATACATTTCAAACTAGAGGACAGATCATTAAAGCCTTATTCCAGAGGCAGGCATTTGATCTCAGAATTGTTTTTCTGCAGCCCCTAAAAACTGTGATTTATTCAAATTCATGACTCTGGATGGTTTACAACAATTTTAAAAAATAGCAAAAAAAAAAGAGAAAGAGAATACAAATAAAAAACATATAAAATCACATTAAAAACATAACTGATTCAATAGGCAAGTTACCCAAACAATCAAATCATTCAGTGTAACCATCAAACCACATCACAGCCAGATCCCTAAGCCTCATAGTATGTCCACATCTTTAGAGCTTTTTGAAAGGTCAGGATCAATCTAACCTCTGGGGGGGGTATGGTATTCCAAAGGATAGGCAAACAATAGAGAAGGCTCTCTTCCTGGGTACTGCCAGATGATACTCCTTAACAAATGGGACTGCAACATGCCTCTTCTGCTGGATCTGATGGGATAGGCAGATGTAACCAGGGAGAGACGGTCCTTCAGATAAGCTGGTCCCATGCCTGTAGGGCCTTACAGTTCATTGTCTGCACAGCTGCATTTTGTACCAACTGCAACTTCTGAATGTTCTTTAAGGCTTTGCCCTATGTACAGTGCATTTCAGTAAGCCACTCAGGAGATGATCAAAGCATTATGTGATTGTGATCATGTGACTGTGAGTAGAGCTTCCCAATCCTGGGACAGAATTGATGTACAAAGTTGCGCAAAAACTGCCCTGACCAAAACTGCCACCTATTCTTTGGAGTTGTGAGTCCAGGACTCCCCCCAGATTAGACTACCCATTCCACAATGAGATGATAACTCTCTGGATCCAGGAAGCCCCCAAACCCACAGCAACTCAGTCTTGCTAGATTGATCTGAACAACTGTGCTGTTTTCCATCAAGCCTCTCACAGTTCCAGACCCCAAGACAGAAAATGAACAGCATCACTTAATTCATCAGCATGCAGACGTAAAGCATATGGTACCTTATCCTACGGCAATGGATGAATTCACCTACTAGTTTCATGTAGCTGTTAAACAGGAACAGAGAAAGCATCAAATCCTGTGGCACCTCTCACTCCTGATCAGCAGTGTGTGTGGAGAAAGGAGAATCATCACAACATAGTGCCACTCATCCACCCACAACCCCCAAAACTGATCCTGAAGGTTACCATCATGGTTGCCAAGTGGTCAACAAGAACAAAGATAGATGCACTACTTCCATCCTGCTTATGCTAGAGGTCATCTGAAAATGTGAGCAATGCTGTCTCAATCCTATACCCAAATCTCAAACCTGACTGAAAAAACCTCAGATGATTTGCTTCATCCAAGATCTTCTGAAGTTGCTGCACAACTACTGTTTCAACTATCTTCTCTAAAGAGATAATATTGGTAACTGAATGAAAATTGTCCAGTATGGTTAGGTCTAGTGATGGCTTCTTCAAAAGGGGGTGAACCAATATCTCTTTAAGAGGTTGTGGGACAACCTCTTTTCTCAAGGAAGAATTCACCACCAGAATCCCACCACACATCACCTCCCAGGGATACCTTTGCCAACCAAGAGAGACATGGATCTAATAAACTGATGGCTGAAATCACAGTCACTCTTGTGATGTACTGGGTACTTATACTATAATGGGCCTGTTAACCTGATAATGTACCTGAAGACAGTCCTCCATTGTTCCTAGTACATATGTTCTTTTCAAGGTGTGAATCCCCCATATCTCTAAACTTCGCTTTGGGCTCCTCTTTGCTTTTTCTTCAGTTAAATCCAAACTAGACAAGCAGACAAAACAAAACAAAAATCTTATACATATAAATCATTTGTCTGCAATTCAGAATGTGATCCATAATTCTGGTTTCTAAACCAGGAGTTGTTCATATATAAGCACATAAATCCAAGTTTTAGATATACTGTAATGACCATGCTTTTTTGTTTGTTTGTTTGCTAAAGAGTAAAGCATGCTAAAATGATCATAACATCATAGTCACACAGAAATGCACCCCAGCTTTCATGATTGCTTCTACCTCTGAATGGTATATAACTGCATGCACTCCTCCAAAGCTAAGGGACTTATGGACAAGGTTCTCCCTCTAACTTTCTGATTGTGTGGAGACTAACCTCTGTAAAGATCATTTGACATACCGTTGGGAATCCTTGAGAAAGGACAACTGGAGACTTAGCTTTAAGCATTTTTTTCTTGTTTTATTAAAACAAAAAGTCAAGCAATTTTGACAATAACCTATACCTTTACCTATGGGGCAAAAGAGGTTATCATCCATACAATAACCATCTAGAAATCATCTCAGTGGTTTTTCTTCTTCTAGAGCGTCATTGGTTTTTTTTATCCTGCTTTTTATATTTAATTTGTGGCAGATACACCTAGTACTCTTTTCCTATTTTCCCTACAACAAAAACCCTATTTTATTTATTTTTTGTTGTTATAGGGTAGAGCAGGGGTTCCCAACCTCCGGTCCATGGACCAGCACTGGGCCGCATGCCAGAAACCAGGCCGTGCAAACAAAGCCCCATACACAGGATACAGGCAGTACATGAAACCACACCTCCTCCAGTCCACAGAAAAACCTCTCTCCACGGGTGGGGGGGCAGGGGGTGGTGATTTGAGGCACTCGGTGTCTAAAAGGTTCGCCATCACTGCCCTATACCATTTCAGGCAAATGGCTGCCCAGTCTCTTCTTAAAAACCTTCAGTGAGGAGCACCTACAACTTCTGAAGGCAAGGCATTCCACTGTTAATTGTTCTCACTGTTAAGAAATCTCTCCTTAGTTCTAGGTTGCTTTTCTCCTTCATTAGTTTCCATCCATTGCTTTTTGTCTTGATGCTTTGGAAAATAGATTGACCCTGTCTTCTTTATGGCAGCCCCTCAAATATTGGGATGCTCCTATCATATTACCCCTAGTCCTTCTCTTTTCTAGACTAGACATACTCAGTTCCAGCAACTATTCTTCATATGTTTTAGCCTCCAGCCCCCAAATCATCTTTGCTGCTCTTCTCTGCACTCTTCCCAGAGTCTCAACGTCTTTTTTATATTGTGGTGACCAAAATTGGATGCAGTATACCAAGAATGGACTTACTAAGGCATTATAAAATGGTACTAACACTTCACATGATCTTGATTCTATCCCTCTGTTAATGCAGCCTAGGGTTGCACTGGCTTTTTGGTGGCTGCAGCACACGGCTGGCTCATAATTAAGTAACTGTCCACTAGGACTCCACGATTCCTCTCACAGTTACCGCTGTTGAGCCTAATCTGTAACTGTACATTTGTTTTTTCTTGCCTAAGCATAAAACTTTACTTTTCTCTCCCCTGAATTTCATTTTGTTAGTTACATAGAAATTAACATATTCTTAACATATATTCCTATATAAGTAACCAATTTTATGCAGAAGACATACAAATGTACAAATTTCTTCTTGATGCGTCCACAAAGAATGTTATAGTTGAAAATAATAAAAGCAAGTACATGTTCTGACAGAGCAATTGTCCATTTGGGGGGGAAATCACTTTGTACTTTAAAGGAACACTTGTTAATCCTGAAGTACAGCTGCCTAGGCTTGCCTTTTTTACACCTGTAATTCCAACTTGAATACCTATTCATTTTCGATGCATGAAAATGCTGTTTAGGCATAATATCTTCCTTTATTTTTCAAAAAAGACATTCCAAAAGAGAATTAAATAAGTATATTATATAAAAATGTTAGTAAATGATGAAATCTTATGAAATAAAACAAGTACAGCCGGCGGGCTGAAGAAAGTGATGCATCTGGACATAACATACTATTTCACAAATCAATCTACAGAAAATCTTGGCTCATCATAGTTAAATAAAAATTTCACAAAGCTAGCCTTAGCATTTCACCATGTACAGTCAATTCACGAAGCCTTAGCTTAACACTGGGTCAATGATAAACCCATAAAATGCTTTAATCCAACCAGACTACTCTTTTTAGAATACAGAACCTCTCTCATTAATATCACTTGTTCCCACTCATCTCCAAGTTACACTAAGAGTGGTACTTGGACTCTCTGCAAGGGGCCTCTCTGGTCACCACAAAAGGAATTCAACAGGTTAATTGCCCTAATCTAGTCATAATGTAAGGTTTAGATTTTGCATTCTGTAGAAGGAACTCCTCCCCACACTAGGAAGATAGGGGTAGAACAGGATGTTACCTTCCTCTCTCTTTCATTGACCCTCCATATCTAATAAGCCCATTCTTTTTTTTTCCTTCAAGCATGGCAACCAAAATGTTCCAAAGATTATGAAGTGGGAGAAGAATGGGAATCATCCCAAGACTTTCTTCGTCTGGTAACCTCAGTTAGAGGTTAGAACAGTGGTGGTGAACCTATGGCACGGGTGCCAGAGGCGGCACTCAGAGCCCTCTCTGTGGGCACGTGCACCATCCCCCCAGTTCTAGGCCTTCAACTGGGTTTTATAAAACCTTTTTGCTTTAGGCCTCTGCCGCCATGTGTAAAAAAAAAAGGTTCAATCAGTCAATTTCAACTTCTCGTGGGGAAAAAAAAGATCTTGCAAAGTTGGAATTGATTGATTGAACTTTTTAGTCCCACCCAGTCTGCCATTACCACCGCAGCCATGCCCACCCAATTGGCCACACCGAGCCAATGGGCCACACCCACCCAGCACTCGACGATGCCTAAGTGGGTTTGGGGTTGCAATTTGGGCACTCAGTCTCTAAAAGGTTCACCATCACTGGGTTAGAATCTTATTTGCAGGGTCTTTGGGTGCTCACTGAACTTTTCTTAGAGAGTTAAAGGAGAATAAAATTCAGTTCTAGGCACTATCTTTCCAGTTTGGGTGTGCCAAACTGCGGAAGAGTTTTGTTGCCCAGGAGTTGGAG